AAAAAAAAAAAAAAAAAAAAAAAAAAAAAAAAAAAACTCATTCTTTAATTTTTAATTTCTTGCAAATTGTATTTTACTTTCTAAGCATTTTTATTCGCTAGCAATATTAGTGAACCTTAATCGGACCACGGCCCGTCTTTAAGTCACATTAATCTGTATTTAAATATTTTACGTTCATATAAAGCATTTAAAGTTTAAGTGTATAAATGGACCAATAACATTTTAATTATTTTCATGATTGTCCGAATGGACTGAGAGGCACATCGTGATAGGATTCGTTATAAAAACACGTGATATGATCAGGGTTAAAATGTTTGTTAAGAAGAAGATCATCTACCACCTTGTAGAAAACTTGTCTGCGCGTATTTTCATCGAAACCAAAAATGAGTGTTAAGTCGACCCATAATCGGATATAAACAAGTGCCTGAGATATCGATTGGGATTTTCCATATTAAAACAAAGGTAGATTAAATACAAGATACATCTAAAAGAAAAACAACTGACATTGATAGGACGAATAATATTGATACCTTCGCATGTAAAAGTACAAACTTCAGATTTTCCTCTCTCATCGCTGCGGTTAAGCAGCTTAATTGTTTAAAGCATTGAGCAAAGGTTATATTCAAAAAAATTGAATTTTCGATACGATCTGAAGCAAAGTGCTATTACAAGGCACCGAACGCTTTCTGTGGATATTAGTTGAGTGATTTTTTTTTTAAGGTAAAGATATTGAGATTAACGCTAGGAATGTGTAAGTCCCTCACTGGGGTTTGTAAAATCCTTATGGGTCTAACACACCCTAATTTACAAACACTTAATGTGAAGTGAAATGATTTCACAAGAAAGTAAGCTGAATGGATTTTTAGCATAACAACACTCGATCCAGCCAAGAAATCATTAAAAAAAAACTGAACCGTGATTTTCATCAGGTATCATCGTATCGCTTCAGGTATCATCGTATCGCTTCTTCCGATTATCGTTCGATGCTTTGTATCATTACTTAAGGTTTATTAGAGTAGAATTCTCAATGTTAGAATGATACCAAGAGATGGATTCTATTGAACATTGCCTTCGAAAAATCGTCCTCCTATCTCCTAGATATCGCTCACAGTCTAAGCAATGTGAGACTTATTCTCCTTTGCCTGGGTGGGGAAAAGAAGTCAAATTGTCGCAATTGGACCTCGATAAACCCAAGAGAGACAAGAAACTAAGAAAATAACTTTTCCAGCAACGAAGAATGTTAGTTTTGTACAGTTTTTGTGCTGGCGATTAAATCGGACAGCATTTTTTCCAAAATAATGCTGGGCCTAAAGTTTCAATGCGTCGATCCTTTACCGAATAATATTGAAAGATTGCTTTCTGCTACGTAACTGATTTTGACGCGGCCGACCTTTATCTCCAGGAGGACGGCGTAGCCCGCTCCATTGTTAATGAATCATTGCGTCATTAATTCATTTTACCTCTCATTACTCGGAAGAAATATTTCCCGTATATGCTTTGATAGCCAATTCACTTTCAAGCCAAAGTACATTTCACTGAAACGGTTAAGGCACGAACGCCTAGACACAAAGCGAATGTCATCCGCTGTGAAGGTGAATACGTCCGCAATGCAATCGCTCTGTACACATACTCAATTTCTTTTCCGCTTGAACTACGTCTCTTAACACCTCTGTCTTCTCTTTCGTCTCATCGTGTAATGAACTTTTTCTTCTCCATCGAAGCGAATAATAAATCGTATTTTATATATCGTATGTCCTTCAGACTCGTTATTAACAATAGAAAATATGGCCTCTTCCATATCGGTCAAGGAGTTCAATATCAAAATAAATAAAAATTGCTACTAAACGATACCTGAAAGAAGAGCAATTTGGACATATTTTGAGAGTAACTTACTCACTTGTCTTGAACGAGGTAATCCTAAATTTATTTATTTAGATAACTTATAGTAAGTAATACATTCTCCCGATGCTCAATATATCAATTGAAGTAACTTCAGTTTAATTACCGGACATAAACTTGACTATAGAAACAAAAAAATCAGTTTTTGAATGCCTTGAAGTGGTGCGCATATCTATCATAGACATACGTGTATGTTCATATTCATATTCGTATATACACGCACGTACGTAAACAAATGTCTATGTTCTGTGATTTATTGAGCGTTTTAAATGTTCGTACGTGATGATCATTGCATGGGCAATAGCAGCAGCAGCAGCAGTGAACAACACCGAAAGGAATGGTCGGTGTTTTATAATCATCCAAAGCACGAAAACGGAATAATAGAAGACAAAATTACACAAATCCACAAACTGCAAATGATGTTACTCTAAGGAAAATGAATGATACTCGGAGGACCCATCAAAATGGAAGAGAAGAACGAAAAAAAAAAAAAAAAAAAACAAAAAGAAAAACAAAAACGGAGGGAAAAAAGCAAAGAAAAATTGATATGTTTGTAAATGGCATGCATGCCCACACACTTTATGTGTATTTAGTTCAAAAGTCAAAAATCCATCTACACATACATAAACACACACACACATATATATATATATATATATACGTACACACATACATGCAAGCGCACAAACACGCATGCATACTTATTCAAAAGTCATAAAGCACCATAACGTGTTTCGTTTATAAACATAACAGAATAAACTGACAGTAGAGTACAGTAACAGACAGTTGAAATCTAATGTTACGTTTGAAAAACATGACCATTACAATGGCAGTGGTAGCTGGCTCTTTCGACGGTTAGTCATACATAACATTTTTCCGAATGACCGTCAAAAGCGTATAGAAAGCAGAAAGCAATATAGAGAATTAACAAACGCACACATTCATCAACATCATATTTAGGTGTGCATGCATATACATACTCAAACATAGAATGATAATAGTGATGCTTATGACGATAATAACGTTGATGATGATGATGATAATTTTTGTTATTATCATTAACGTAAATACCGCATTACGTAGAGTAGCAAAATCCATGGATGCGTTTATACGCTTTGCATATGTTTACATACACATACTTTCGCATCTCCATATCCGTATATATATATATATATATATATATATATATATATCCGTATATGTGATTGTGTCGGTTTGTTTGTGTATGCATGCAGGTGTGCATATGATTGTTAAGTTATCATTGCGCTTATACATGAGTGTACGGATGTATGTGTGTGTGTGCACGTGCGCATACATGTGTTCAAGAAAATGTCAGTAATTGCAGCTGCAAGCGAATGAACATTTGAATTGTGGCCTATGGTACGTCAGTTTAAAACCTATTCACAGTAATTGAACAACATTTACTGTGTTGATCGTCCGCTTAACTCATCATTTGAACTTTTTTTTTTTTTTTTTTATACTTACCGACAATATTGAGATAAACGGAATGACCAATCGGTGGTGTGGTTGAAATCTGACATTCGTATGTGCCGGAATCTTTACGTTGAGCGTATCGTATACGTAACGTCCAATCTTCAGCGTGTGGCGAATGCATTGCTTCGAATCGTTGATCCGACGTGTACGTATAACGACCAACTGTAAGTAAATGAATGTCGCGATGTCTCACCCAAGAAACCTAGAAATGTACAAAAGAAAAGAACAAAAATCATTAAATCATATTATATATGTGGACATATATATATATATATATATATATATATATATATATATATTATATATATATTATGAAGTAATCGAAAAATATATAGAGGACTTTGTTGCAAGCCATAGTGTTGGTGCAGCAAACGCCAGATTATATGTATCGCATACAGTAACGCGAAGGGTCATGTGATTTGATACCTGAAACCGTTGATTGCTGGAATTTTTACACTTAGCACTATGAGACTTTAGATATGAAATCTTACGAAATTGCTTCAACTGCTTTTCTCTTTAGAAATTTCGATGTGTGACGTACATTTGTTAATCAGCGGCCCTTTACGGGGAAAAAACAGGAATAATATTTCAAAAAATCGGGAAATAACGATTCCGGTAAATGGTGTTAATTATATATAAGCAAATGGCTAGGGAATAACCTCAGATGCGCAGTACGATGATGATCAAACCAAAGTGAACAAAAAAAAAAAAAAAAGATGAGGATGATGGCTGCAGCCTTTGCAAGCACGAGGCACGATAAGCAAGTGTTGCGATTTTATCGAGCTATCGCCCACTTACGTAGTAAACTCATTGGTAGAGAGAACTTCATGTTCTTCATGCTTGACCAATTTATGTTAGCCGCAATCTACAAAACTTGAGCAATTGCTTAACTAGTTCATAGCGAACAATGAAAAGTAGAACAATGAAGGACGAACAAGATCATAATCGAAGCTTTTGAGACTTTGATGAAGCTCGCAGTTTGCGGTCGGAAAGTTTGTGTGCCGATTACAAAGGCAACAATATCGAATAGGAAAACTTAACGAAGTTATACTTAATCTGAACAAAAACGAATCAGAGCTCTGGACCAGAAACTATTTCGTCAAGTCTTCGGACATTCGAAAAAGAAAAAAAGACGGATCTGAAGTTATAGCACGTATCGCGATCAATAGGTATTCATTACAATCGCTTTAGATTGCAATCGAGTTATTAAAGCCGTCAGTAAATGATGTGAGTTCATGTATAAGAGCTCGAAATAGTATGATTTGAAATGCACTAAGTAAACGTGTTCCTTGATCGAACCATGTATATCGATGTGGGTAGACACTTAAATAACAAAATCATTCGCAAAGTGAGAGGAAACTTCAAAACCTATTGCGAAGCTCACAGTGGCGCCCAGTAAAAATGATGGTCAGTTGTTTCTTGCAATATAAATCCTTTTATACCTTTGAAAATTAAAGCCATGTATGTAAATATTTAAAAGAAAACACAAAAAAGGTTAAGTTAAAGGCAAATCCCATTTAGGGACCTTTTGAAAATTTGCGATATTTCTTGATATGCATTTCTCGCATTTCTCGTATCGTTAGAGTTTCATTCACATCTGCAATTCCTGCAACACTCAGCTTAACTTAATTCCCAAAAGTTAAATTCAAAACGTTCTTCATCAGTGTTTCTCCCTTTTTTCTTTCGCTTACGCCCGTATTCTGATCACTACTCTCACATGTGAAGAGTAATGTGTTTTCTTAATATGGTATTTGTGAGGCGAACAAAATACAAAAGAGAAATAAAAGTATTGCGAGCAATTGCGGAGGAGCTGCGGACAAATGTCACGCGTGCGTCTACTAGGGGACATATCGTACTATCGTAATAAGCAAAATTTAATAGTCTATCGCGCACTATCGCACAATTCGCAAGTACCTCTCATCAAAGACTATTTACTATATATGAAATATGGATCGTACTGTGATATTCTGAAGGGATGTCCTGTAAAGTTTCAAGATTTCGCATCTACGTTAATAATTGAAATAATTTGTCAAATCTTTTCTAATAATTCTTTGCAAAATTTTTTGCATTATTTTTGTTATCCAGCGCTGATAATGATGTTAACGTTTAAAAATGTCTTGAAATTAATGCATATTTGCAATGAGTGCATTTGTATATGGGAGTACATATATATATATATATATATATATACAATTATATATAATTTGATATATTTCTCAAAATTTGAAGTCAAGTTGACAAGTTGGCCTAATCACAAAAACTGTGAAGCTTGTCAAATAATTCTTATAAAATTCGTTTGGCTCGTAGCCAGTATTTGTACAATTAAACTCCCTACCCTCCCCCGGTCGTTATCTATCATGTAATTTACCCAACCCAAGTCAGGAGTTACGGATGAATTCGTATCGAGTTCAAAATGAATGCAAAAATAAAAAAAAGGAGAGAGAAAGGGAGAAGAGAAAGGGAGAGAGAGAGAGAGAGAGAAAGAGAGAGAAAGAGAGAGAGAGAGAGAGAGAGAGAGAGAGAGAGAGAGAGAGAGAGAGAATATGAAAAATAAAAAAATTTCCTCCAAAAAATATGATGTGAATGCAACACTAATTCAGTCTCATTTCTGCACAACTGTTGTGCATGAGTAGAGCATATAATTGAGTTGGCTAACAATTGTACGGAGTTTATGACCTCTTTTTTTCATGGTAATGTCTATTCTCAGTTTACGAATTTCTTCATTTTCTTCGCCTTCCCTTTTCTTTTTCGTTAGGCTCAGGACACAGGCACGAAAACTTTCGAGAAAAAGACTAAAATTATTTACGCTATGAACCACTATAGCATGCATATCTTTTTTTTTCTTTTTTATTTCTGTTTGTTTGTTGTTTTTGTTTTTGTTTTTGTCTTTTCTTTTTTTCTCGTTCTTATTTAACATTCAATCATTTTATTATAGAGAAGCAAGCAAACGAAACTCAAAAATTAGTTTCGAATAAATGAACATGCATCAACTCTTAAGTAAGTCACATAAGCATGCCTTACGTAAATAATTCTCTTGCTTTTATTTTTCTATTTTTTTATTTTTTATTTTTTTTGTCTGCTATCAAAATTGTTTTCTTTCTGCACCGGAATTATATAAATAAACGTGTAATAGGAAAGTCGTCACTGCCTTTCCTTTTATCCCACATTTGTCATGACATCATTTTGCATCTCATAAAATGTATTCAACTCTAAATAAAAAAATATGTTTGCACAATTGTTGCTTCAATTCCCAATGCAACGCGATTACGATTGCTATTACTATTCCTATTTGCTATTTCTATTTCTATTTCTATTCTTATAACCGTCCTGCTACTATGCTATTGCGGATTGCTATTGCAATTGCTATTGCTCTGGCTGTCGATGTGCATATACATGTGCATATGAATGCCGATGTGGATGTGGGTGTTGCTATTGCCATTGCTGCTTGTTCCTGCTCTGACTGTTGTTATGCCAGATCCCTTTTTTGAGAAACATCAACAGTACACGTCTGCCATTTTATATATTTTCGTTTTCTGGAGCAATATACATAGATATATATAGTTGACATAATTATTTTTGCATACATTTATGGGTATGTTTGTTAGTGTAAGTTTGTTAAATATTTATGCCTTATGGACATTTTTTGATAATTCTCATAATATTTACGATAGTTTCATGTCAAATCTAAATTCCGTTTGTATATGTAAGTTCAGTTTCTTTTCGAAAGCAATTTCTCTAAAAGGAAACTCGTGCAAAAAAATAAAAAAAAAAAATAAAAAATAAAAAAATGAATGCGAAATGAAACCGGAAAATTAAAACAAAACAAAAGCAAAAATGTAAAAATAGATAATTAGTGAAAGCTACATATACTTTATATATATATATATATATATATATATATATATATGCTATATACCATAATATATATATATGCCTAGTTTTGCATTAATTATCTGTTTTACATGTATATATGCATATACATGTATGTATGTATGTATGTATTCGCGCGTGTGTGTGTGTGTGTGTGTGTGTGTGTGTGTGTGTGTGTGTGTGTGTGTGTGTGTGTGTGTGTGTGTGTGTGTGTGTGTGTGTCTGCATAGATATATCGAATATCGAGCTGAGCGTTACGGTAGAAACTTGCCAAAGTCGAAATGAAATAATCATCGACCTATTTTCGCAGATTTTGAGCTGATGATCTGATAAATATGATTGCATCGATCTAAGTCCGCGCTAATTAGAAGGAAACGGCTCTGAAGAGTGCACCGCAATTGGGATATGTACCCAGATCACGCTGGCGATTACTTTCTGAATTGTTTTGACTAAAGACGGACAGACACCAGCTTATTGTGTTTTCGCTCTAAGCCAACTTAATCATTTTCGCAGTTTTAGTTGCGTTTTTTTTTTTCTTCTTCTTTTTTTTCAGTTTAATTCAGTTAACCTGCAGGTATACATTGAACGATAGCTTGTAGATAGATAACTGAGACTGAGACCACGCAAACACCAATTAACAACAGGTGAAATTTCTGAAAAATTGAAAGCGCCAGAGGGACATGAGGCATAAAGTTAAATAAATTCGATCGAAAGACCTGCCAAAGGCATTCTGTGAAATGCTTTAAGCATATGGCATTGTGAAGGATTAGTAATATTTTTGCTTTGCATCTGCTTTGCGTTTGTTGAGTACGATTTCGGTAGAATGCTCAATTTGGCGCCGCTTCTGCAGATGTTTCTTGCTATTTCTACAAAATTCAATAAGCAAAGACGAGAAGAAGAAAACTTTCCGAAGAAGATAGCATTTCAGAGAGAGTTTGATGATTTTTGATAAAACGACATAGGGTCCATCAGGATACGATGTAAGCACATATGCAATCTGAACTTAGAAACAAACTGTGCTTAGCCGATCGCAGTAGCAGTAGTAGTGCAATATTTTCTCATTTGAAAGGGCGACATTTCGAATCGAAATAATATCTCTAGTCCTGGGAGAACAGTTTACATTAAAGTCGTTATTTTCGGCAGTAAAGTGATGTTGAAACTACTCGGCAAAAATGCACGGAATTATAGAACCGTTGAAAGCGTTATAAGCACCCGTTAAACGACATCGATTAAGAATAGCAACTCTTTTTAGAGTATGGAGATATGACTTGAGCCTAAAGCGAGAGAGGGAGAGAGAGAGAGAGAGAGAGAGAGAGAGAGAGACCCTATTTT